CTGTTCAGCCTAAGACAGCCCTAATGCGTCGCCTGCTCGTGTAGGTTTTATGAGGCAGGGAGAACGGATGGTAGCTGTGCAGGGTACACAGTCACAAAGCCCAGAGAGATGATGTTATGCGCTGTGCTTTCAGTGCCACTTCACAGACAGTTTGTGCATGTGTCCTTCTTGGACTACACACTATGTGGCTGCAAGTGTGGGTAAATAAAAGATGAGGCCAGGGTAAATATGCTGACTATACCTGCTGGCCTGGAGTAAGGAAGTAAATTAGTAATGTAGGCTATAATGTGAGGGAGAGGTGGTGCTGACAAGGGTGCAGACATTAGGGTTCTAGAGAGATGCAACAAGAAAAGGGTTTCAACAAGTGAAGGACAAAGAGTAAATTCTCAAAGGTCCTGTCACCATTCCCATAAAAATCAAAAGCTTTATTAAACTACATCTGTTTTTCATAATCCAAATCAAAACTGAATGAAGATGATGGCAGTATATGCAGTGTAACGTTTGGGCAGGTTCCACATTGTGAGACAGTGGTCAAGTGAATCACAATTCTTACAACATGCAGCAGGAGGGTCACTGCTGTGCACCCCTTTATGTACTGGCTGTAAAATACTTCAGTGTTCTCCTGTGGATAAATGTGGTATGACCAGTGCTAAAACTGATGCATAGGTTTGGCACAAAGGCACTTAACAATTTAGCTAATTATAGCAATTTTCAGAGTAATAGAGCATTTAGAGACAAACATAAAAAAGACCAAACAGACCCAAAAGTATTATGTTTTTAAGTAACTAAAGCCCAGCTTTGTGTAAATAAAAGTTGAAACATGAGACTTTTTGGGTAACTACGATCAGTAAATAGTCTTATTATTAAGTTATGTCCAGCCACAATATCGTCTGAACCGATATTTGGAAGCCGATATCTGATGCAGGAAAGTATTGGTGCCAGTATCTGAACATTATCAGATTGGTGCATTCCTAGGTGCACTGCAGCTAATTTAGATCAAGTCAAGAGAGCTACAGAAAATCATTATTTTTTGTCAGAATAAATAAATAAAATACACTTGACTGGTATGATGGACTGGAGCAGACCCAGCTGCAGTAGAGGTGTATTTCTACAAATGATGATTTAACTTTTTTTCATTTGAGACAAAGTGTGTACAGTGTGCACTCATGTCATACCTCAGCACTCCTTCATGCTCACATCCCCGTTTCAGTTTTTGCATTATATTCCAATCCCAGTGGAGAGTGCAGATATGAGCTGAGAGATTAAATCCACACACCTCAGGCTAAATGCATAATTAAGCAGGCCCAGTTTAATAAAATCACCAGCAAAGGGTTAAATCTCCTTATACAGCCATCACCTCCTTTCCTCCATCCTCCAACACACATCACCGTCGCTCAGTGAATTTGATGGGCTCCTGCCAAGCATTATAGGAAGCAATAACATTTAAAAGTATAAAAAGGACACACACAAAATTAGAAAACAGTACCTCTGCGCTGTGAGGGCAGGTAAGTGATTTTCGGACTTACTACTTTATGGTGAAACAGCAGGAAACGTCTGAAGTCCTTGGGGCAGTTGTGATATTTCAGTATATGGTAATGGACAGAAACTCCACAGGGGAGTGAGGTGGGCAGTTGAAAGTGCTGCCTCTCACATGCTCCGAGAATTAACCTGCTGCATTAAGCCCCCAAGGTCAGGTCACAGCTCTGCAGTTATTGAGCAAAGCCGCTACATCCCACTGGGTTCACGCATAGTAACAACCTCAGTCTGAGAGATGGATGGAAGCGGACTCCTCTCCTCCTGGCTTTGCGGCCAATCTTGCTTTTAGCTGGCCAACTTGCTCACTTACAGATATGTTTACAGATATGATATGTATTATACAAAATTGAGTCTTTTGAGCTTTTAGCCATGTTAGAATATTGTTACCTCATCAAAAACATACTTGGAGTTGTGTTTAATTTCATTCATACACCTTTGAGTAATCCTGCATTATTAGCCTGTCTACATCTCCAAATGATTCTAGTGAAGGTAAATGAAGTTAAAAAACATAGTGAAGCACTTCCTGTATTACCACATGACATCGCAAGGAGGAACAGAATATTTTCTATTGAAGAAAAGTATGCCTAAATACGCAAGGTCTGTGTTAAATATGTGTTAATGAAACAAAATACAACTCCAGGTATGTTTGTGATGAGGAAACAACCTTATAACATAGAATATAAAATAATATGTGTCCTTCGATAATATATTAAAATGTTGTTTCAGCCCTTTTTTTTTGTATTAGATTTATGGATGTTTGGGTTGTAGGAAAACAACGGGAGAAATAACATGGTTGGGATGGGATTCACTAACTCTTGAAACTAGCATCACAATTCATTGAGGCATGAGGCGGCTATACCAACCATGACAGACAGATAGAACAGTTAACAAAAGTATTGAAAATCAGATATTAATTAATACTAAAACTAGTATTGAAACCACATACTCATTTGAGCAGGTATCAGTACTAAAAGGTCACATTCATAGGACAGAAACAAACCTTTGCTGAATGATGCTGAGCTATATCAGAACAATTACAACAGCACGCAGACAAGTATACGCACTTGGTGCCTAAGGAACCAACCTGGACCAGTGAGGGATCCCACACATATAAAATGCCATTCTATTGTAAATAAAGAGTCTTTTTTTTTTTTTTTTTTTTAATTATGATGGTGATATCAGGATCAGTATCAAGTATAGCGTTTACTCGTTAGTATCAAAATCAAGTAATTGAAATTTTAGTATCGTGACAACACTAATACGCTGATAGGAGATACTTGCCATTTATGTAAATCAAGTAGATTAAATGGAAGCCCTGCAAGAAAATCAATAAAAGAATTGAAGCCTGTTGTTGATGTGTTCCAAAGTTGCAATTAAAGAAAAGTGTTTTCCTCCACGTGAATCTCTGAGCACTGTGGGGGGAGAGTGTGTGTGTGTGTGTGTGTGTATGTATGTGTATGTGTGTATGTGTGTGTGTGTGTGATTGGCCCAAATGCATAAAATCAATTTAATACTAATTAGTCCTACTTGACATTCATTTTATATCCATTACCAGTAAATGTGGGCTGGAGCGTATTATTTAACAATGCATGACAAGCAGCCATCTGCATTACTATTCATCCCAGAGACACATCTTGGCTCTGTCGCCTGCTCCTTCCTGCCCTACTGTTTGTACTGTTAGCCAAGAAAGCCTGCTGTGAAAGTGAAAAAAATAATGATCACAGATTTAAAGCAACTTCTGGTTTAACCTTCTGTGAGCTGTCATTTAAAAAGCCAGACATCTATATTTTATTCACTGGCAAAACTTTTAAATCCAGTCAACCTTGAAACAGCAGTATGCTCTGTGAGAGAAAATAATATGGATCATCAAACACACAGCCACAGTCACAAATACACATTATAGCATGAAACAGATACTGGAGGCTACACAAGTTAAGTGTCTTGCTCAAGGACAGAAAGACAGACTGAATCTAACCATCAAGCTTCATTCAAATTGGTGGGCAAACCTTGAGCCACTACCAACCCATAATGCACTGCTTGGTCAAAAAAAGTCACCACATGGATTTAACTTAGAAAATAAGGGTTTGCCACAGTTGGTCTGGAAAGGTTAGCATTATGAGACCACAGAATATGGTTAACAGACTGAATATATTGACTGACCAGATTTTCCAATCAATTGACTGTGTTTCTTCCCCAATGGCAGATGGTTAAATCTATCTTAATGAATCAATGGCAGATCAAAGTTACAAAAATAGCATTCATGGTTTAACAATACACCAACCTATGACAATGGCTTATCAACACTTGTTCTGAACGAGACAGAAATACTCTAAAGTGGACCTAAATCGACCTTTTGTTATAATTTTCTCCCCTTCTCATTTCCCCTCTCGAAGTTGAATTTAGAGTGATTCATGCGTGTTTGAGTAATCTTTATACTCCTGTATTCAAGACGTCTTTGTTCTGTTTTCTGTACTTACACTGTTCTCCAAATGTATTTTCTCAGTTTCTAACATGTGTAGGATTTTGCAATGTGCTGTACTCATTTTGGTACAAACAACAAAAAATCTGCTACACGCTACCATGATGTGCACGTCAGCTCTCATTGGGCGGTTTTCTAATCCACGGCGTCATAGAATATAACTATATAGACACAAGTGCAATATGTATTATTTAATTCAAATCTAGGACATGAGCTCGGGCAATAACAACATTAAGTATTAATAATGATAAGTACTGTCATCATTTTCATGCTTCAAGATAAATTCTATAGAAGCTCAATAGACTGAATAAGTAAAAATATTGATTGGAATAACTGGCCATCGTGTTAATTATCCTGTGACTTTATGACTTAATCTGTCTCTAATCCGCCTTTATCTTATTCAAGACAGCTGTGTCCCACCGCTGGTGTCTATTCTGAGCACAGCAGTACAACTGTGGTTTTAGAAATGAGAAATGGTACAATTAAAATGACTCAAAACCACATGTTTGAGTTCTGAGTGTTCTCATTAAAAGTAATTTAAGTTTAAATGATGCAAATAAAATCTATTACAGAAAATGTTTTTGTCAGTCTGCATCTATTAGGCACAGTGGTGAAGTCTGTCTGACTACTCCATTGTTGCATCATACTAAAATAACAGCGGTGAGACTGTACAGTAAAACCAGTTTCACTTCCAGACAATCGGATTTGGTATGAATAGAAATGATCAGAGTTTGTATACTTTTGGCAATGGGGCAGCACAATAGGATTCTTTTGAGAAGTATTTTAAATTGTGACAGGCAGCTCTGACTGCAATGCAAATGATGATTTTCATACCTTACAATTATGCAACAAATACTGCAGAGTACAGGAGTCATATGGGGTTAATGTCACTGACACATAACATATCACAACCAGCAAAAAGAAACTATTGAGCATTTGCAGTTGTTTGCCCTTTGACCTCTGCTTATAAAAATGGAGCACTAACCTCTGGGTTTGTCCACTTCTCCTGAATCTTTTCGCCCATCTGCCGTGTGTAGGCCAGGAGGTCATACCCCTGTCTGCTCTAAAGGTGAAAAAAAATGTTATTACAACCTATATGCGATTTGTTTCTTTCAACATGCAAATTTAATTACATCTTAACTAATAATTCATATGCCCTATTTTCCACCATAGCATTGATATTATTTCATCACAACTGATTAGAATGGAAACTAAAACAGGATTTGAGCAAATAGTGTAGCCCCAGGCAGTGGCTATATGTGTTGGTGACCTCTGCAGTTTGTCAATACACATGAAGGCTAGCACTGACAGAGTAAAACAAATGAGTGTAATGTGTTTCAATAGAATATTCCCCATATGTCTTAGCTGCAGGGTAAACTCTAATAAACATAATGTAATTTTTATCTATGTGTTGCATTAACTCTATTTTATGCAACCTAGCCGTAGACTCCACTTGAAGCTTCGTGCCCACAACAGCCAACATCAGCCTTTAGAAAATATATGAATACTGGGTGGAGAGGTTCACATTCTGTTTACAAAGGGTATATCGACTAGCAAAAAAATCTATTATTACTGAAAGAACATTTTTCTTTGTTGAAAAGGAAAAACTAGGCCATTTCGCAAGCACAACAGCAGAAAGAAAACTTAGTTGAAGTTTTCAGAGTGACTGGACAGTTCTCTTTTCATGATGCATTTTACTAATATTAATACTTTGAGTCATTTGTGCACTTTAAGTAACTAAGAGAGCTTTTGCCAGTGACACGCCAACACCAATGCAAAACACACTGTAATTAATGATAATTTTTTGTTGATTATTTTTCCCCAAGTTTGTGTAGTCAAACTCGTTTTAACTGTACATTTTTAGGGTAGAAATTGTAGTTGATCTGTAGAGCTACAAACCCACTCTGAATGCCAAGTTTTTTTGGTGTTTGTTTGTTTTTTTAGGTGCACTGTGTAACTTTTATAGTAGAAGGACTATCCTCTGCTTGTTTCAATGACGATGTTATTGCTTTGTCTTGAATTTTCCAAAGTATGGCATTAAACTTAGATCTGTGGAGAGGCAATACCACTTACAGTATGAATACATGTTTTCCAATGTATTTTTGACCATAAACACAAACATAATTGTATAAATGCAAGATGTCTAATACCATACTCTGAAGCATTCAAGGCAAAGCAATGGCATCAGCATGGAAACAAGCAGATGGCGCCCCCTCTACCAGAAAAGTGAACCAGTGCACCTTTAATCACTAAAAGCATATGAGCTGAACCTTCCCTCACCTTTTGCCACACGTAGGCCTCATACAGAGTGATGATGTCGTGCTCTTTGTGTTCGCCCTGCACGGCACACACCACGCACACAATCTGCTCGTCGGTTTTACAGTACAGCGACCCCTCCTGGCCGTGCACCTTACAGCGCAGCCTCTCCACCGTCACCGTGTCCTTCTTTCCTGGCTCTGCAGCTGCTTCTTCTCTGCCACCTTCTGCTCCCCCCACGCTTGCCCCATTTACCCCCCCAACCGCCGCTACCATGCCCTCATCGACAGCTCGCTCTTCATCCGCGGCATTTGCGAAACCTCTCCCCATGCCAAGTCCATGAGCTGGTGCCTCTGACTGGTAATAAGGCATTAGTGGGTGATTTGTGCTACTGGTGTGTTTGTCGGCATGAAGGGGGCAGAAGGCGAAGCTGCATATGTGACAGACTTGTGTGGCTGGCTGGGGCTCATCCGGCTCACACGCGTCACACGATCCATCCATCTGCGGTAGTTCTTCGGTGGTAAGCCCACTGACACCTGGCTGGGGTTCCCCTTGGTTGTCCATGGTGCCTGAAAACAATTCTGTGGATCAAAGAAGAGGAAGGGACACAGACAAGAGGACAGTTTATAAATAGTGTTGACCTTCTGCAAATGGTTCTCATATTTTCACCGTGGAAAGTCCAAGATGCTAAGAACTAATCCCTGCTAATGTTACTGCGACAGATGAGGTTTAATGGGGTACAGCTGCATCCTAATAGGACAGAATACAGTTTCATAACTTAACATCTACTAAGACAAAAAGCCCAGGCAAAACTGTGCAGTGTAGAAGCAAGTCCTAAATAATATATGAAATAATATTAAATATATTATGAAGACATTTTTTGGGGTGCTTAAATTAAACAATCCTTGGAACGTTGTTTATAATAATGTTATACTCCTTATTTATTACATAATAACATTTTTACAGGGCACCTAAGTTCAAAATTTGAATGTCTTAGTGGAAGTAAAGTAGGGCTAACCTGTCTAACTCCTCTGAGGAGAGGGGTGGTGCATTTTGGACAGTTTGTCTGTGTAATCCCTCAGTTGTCAAACATAAAACCCCTAACAAAAGAAAGGAGATTTCAGTCAGCTGGACACGGTTTTTAGAGTAACTACTTTTCACCGCTCATCCAACTATTTGCCTCATTTCTGACACACCTTAGGGTAGTTCAATAGACTTAACTAATAAAATGTAAACAACTAGACAGTATTAACTCTAGTAACTGAAAACATGCACCAAAATATGTATTCTGAAAAATTATTTAGAGTATCTGTATTCAAGTACAGTTATTTTTTTATTTGGTGGTATTCAGAACACAGCTACTTTATTTTTTAAATTAAATGTAGTTTTGGTTTTGATCTGCATGAGATTAATGAGAAAGAAAAAAAAAAAGAAAAAAAAAAAAAAAAAAAAGAAAACACAGCTCTTGTAGTGCATGCACGTGATTTCCTTGTCTCTAATTAGACATAAATCAATGCAGAACAACAAAAATAAAGTTGTCTGTAGTTATATAAGATGTTTTTAAACAATTATATTATGCAATTTGACAGTGTTCAGAATACAGTACTCTGATTGGACCATGTATCAGAATACATTACAAAATACATTTTAACTAACTAAACACATTTTCAGAGAATTCTTCCCATCACTGCAACTAGAGTGTGAGTAGTAGTAGTAGTAGTAGTAGTAGTAGTAGTAGTAGTAGTAGTAGTAGTAGTAGTAGTAGTAGTAGTAATCAAATCCCATCAGATTTATACCAGTTCCTCACCAGAGCTGTGTCTTGGATGAGTAATGAAACATATTCACTCTAAAAACTTTGTACAGTTGACAGAATTCAACCTTCTTTTGCTCTAGAAAACTCAGAAGTCAGAGGCATTAAAACATTTCACAGGTAAGATCATATCCTGATAATCCAGATTATCAGTTTAGTTTAGTTTATCAGTTTAGTTTAGTTTAGTTTAGTTTATCAGTTTAGTTTAGTTTCGAAAGACTATAGTTTCAGTGCTGTGAAAGGACACTGCACACTATACTATTAGCTGACTTCCAAACACAAAATGCTGAGCTTGTAGGCCTATGCCCGTACCCTTCGCATGGCCAACCACCCCTTTCTTTCTTTTCTTCCTCCCTCCCTCCATATTTCACCAGGCCTTGACCTTTTCTTGTTTGGCTCATATCCCTGTCTTCATTTTCTGTGCCCTCTATAGTTTTCTCACTGCAGGAGTGAACATGAAAGATGAGGAGAGAGGGTCCTCCTGGCTCTCCTGTGTATACGTACTAAACACGTTTCTTGACTCCTTCTTTTATTCCCCCTTCCTCTCCTTGCAGCCTTACTCCTCCTCTTCCTCCTCTCCTGGGCTGCTTGCTTGTGTACTCTCCTCTCCCTGCTGACACATACATACACGGTGGGAAAAGTGCTGTATTGCTGACAAAAACTTGCCCTTTTCAGATCCACAGAGCTACGTTTTATTCCCACACAAAATTCACACTCAATTCGATCTTACAGGGACTTGCTCCTCAGCCAAATGCACCCACTCACCTGCGATTTCCTCTTTTGTTTTGGTTTTTCTAGCACGTTTTTTATGCTAATGCTGCCCCTCTGTGTAGCATAAGTTAGCTTTTCGGCGAATCCCTGCCAGCACTGAAGTTTGTCGTGGAATTTCGCCTCGGATCGATGTCATGCGTTAACTTTACAGGTAAAAGCATAGTAATACACAGACACGCAGAGACACTTGAGTTTACTTCCGTGTTTTGGTCGGCTGCGCTGCGTCGTCTCCACTTCCTGTTTGGAGGAGCGCGTGAGAGCGGAGCAGAGACACGCGCAGGTCTGGGAGAGAAAAACATTTTGAGTTTGAGGCAAAAGGCAAAACATGTAGAGTGACCAGACGTTCCTATTTACCCGGGACAGTCCCAGTTTTGAGTCCCGTGTCCCCTGTCCGAGCAGATTTATCCAAAACCAGTGATTTGTCCCAGTTTTATACAAGAAATGTCCCAGGTGTCCCTATTTTTGACCAGTCTGATCCCTGACAACAGTAAAGAGAGGCATAAATTGTCAGAAAAGTTGCTTAAAAATGACCAAAACACACAGAAAATGTGTCTATACTGACTCACATTAGCGCCGAGTTCATAATATTTTTTTCCTTAATTACGCACTCGTTTCACAATTTTATTATTAACAACCAACCCGACCAGGGATGTCTCAGTCTTTTATTCTGAAAATCTGCTCACCCTATAAACATGCTAAGTATGATATAAACGTGAACATTTTATACTTTATGAATAAAATAAACTAATACAAATGCAAATTTCACAAACAAAGATCAGGTAAGAGTTAAGGCACTTGTAACTTTTTTTTTTTTTTTTTTTTTTCAAACGGGACAAACGTTTTTTTTCTGCATGCTTGTTGGTGTTTTACATGTTCTAAAGCTATTTGGAAATTGACATTTTAAACTTAAAAAAAAAAAACTTTTTGCTTGGAGGAGAGCGTGAGAGCGGAGCAGAGACACGCACAGGTCGGGGAGAGAAGAACAGTTTGAGATTGGAACTAAACATGCTAACTCTTATATAAATGTGAATATTATGTTGGATTCGATCATTTCACAAGCAAAGCTCAGGTAACAGTTAAGGGACTATATGGAATGCAATCTTCAGTTAAAAAGTTAGCCTGTCATTTTATTTTATTTTATTCTGTATTTTAGCTAAACAAATTGTAATATATGGGACATGTGACACAGGGCTCAAAACTGGTACTGTCCCGAGTGAACAGAGACATCCGGTCACCCTGCTCTTTCTGCATACATGTTGATGTTTTACATGTGCTAATAACAAAAAGCTATTTGCAAAGGGACACTTTAAACTAAAAAAAACAAAACACAACATAATTTAGACTACACTTTTAGCTGTATTTAGACCTACACTTTTTCATGTGGGGCTGTGTAGGATTATAAAATGATCACATCTTTCTGACATGACAAAATATTTTTAATATTTAAATAACTTCATATGTGCATCTGAGCTTCTTTAATTTAGTTTGTTGCATTAGCCATTGGCAGAGTGAACCATCTTATATTCCCTTGTTTATTTGTTCAAATCTGTCTTCCCTAATAATTTCCCATATTAAAAAAATATGGGGTAGTAATGATAAAAGACCAGGCTTGAAGGGACTATAAACCGAGCTTGGTCGGTTTGGACTATTAATCTTTCTCTTATTTCTATATGTCGCGCCCTAGGCGGGTCGGTCGTACTTTAGTAAACAAATAAAGATGTTGCTTACAGCCTAAAAAAATAGAACAGTTATTTCAATATGGTGTTACTAATTGTAATGTCTGCTTTCCCCTTCTGTTCACTCCCATTTCCAGGCACAATGAAGCAGGATGAAAAGTCTGAAGAGGAGCAGAGGGATGACCAGAAACAAGCTGTTCTGCACTCACAGATCTAAAGAGGCTATTGAGCTGGACTACACACAAACCCTGTTTGGCAAGCGACTGACCACTGCTGCTCTGATTTGAGTGACAATCCATAAATAAGCATCACACAGCCTATTCCAAGTAAGCTTCCACAGCATCCACTTGATTGGGATGATGGGGCCTTATTTGCCAAAGTTTTTGCCAGTATGAAGTGGGTTGCTGTAATAGCACACTGGCACAGATGGAGATTTATTATGAGCTATAAACACAGTGAGTGAGTCATGGAGAGAAGTCCCGCTGACAAATGCAACCTAGCTTCAGCAAATCACCGCAACGTATGTGTCTGATAAAACAAAAACTGAGCATACAAATCACTTCTTGTGTACACAATCTGAATGGATATTTACAATTATTTTTACAGCAATTGAATTATTCAAATAAACAACATCTTATCAATTTGCACAATAACCACAACTGAAAAGAATTAGGTGCATCATTGACTTCTAATTTGTGAAAAAGAAGCCCTCAATACAAATACAATATGCACTTCTTAATTGGATCTTTGATTGTTTTTGCCTCAGACACAAAAACACATTGCAACACACTAACTGAAATCTGAGCTATGGTCTATAAGACACTATTCTGACCTTCATAATTACAATTTATTTGATCAGCTGAGCACAAATTACATTACACTGATATACACTGACTCTGAAACATCATTAAGATTTAATTTATTCAGTCTGATTTAATAATATTTTTCATTTTGTCTTACAATGGCTCAGTGTGTGAGTGTGTTTGCCAGCTTTATGTGTTAATTGGAGTTCAATACCGGGATGCTCTCCTTTCCCCACCACCAATAGACTGTATAATGGACATAGCTAACTCTGTAGCCGTGTTCCAAATAAGAAGTGAGCATGGATTCGCATCTGGCTCGATCGACTGTGGCTCCACTTAACTCAAACTGAAAACCTTCGCCCCTTTCTCTGTAACTGCTGCAGTCATCCTTGTAATTTTGGTCTTAAAATGTTTGTATTAACCCTCTCTGCATGATCCTGGTGTTTTTATTTCGCTATTTTGCCCAAACATACATTCCTAATATAGAACTTGCCTACAAATTTGCTCCTATAACTGCAAGCCTCGAGAACTTCATTTGACTGGAGCCTAACACTATGGGGCCATCACACACCATTAGTGCTCTTCTTTATGCAGTCTATGCCCCCACTAGAAAAGTTACATACTATTAGTGCACTTTTATTTTAACTGTGATCATGGGCAAAATATTTTCAGAATCAAAATTAGTCTTAATACCATTGTCAGTTTGCTTTGGTTTTAAAATTCAACATTAAACAGAGGATAATGATAATAATATGATAAAGTAAAAGCAGAGTTATATTGATTTATAACTGAGTGATGATACCCAGTTATGTCTAAACTGAATAATATTAATGGTACTTCCTTGTTTTGTCCTTTATTTTGTTGCCAAGCCAAAGTCTAGATTAAATGGGCAAACTGTTGCCAAATTGTAAACTCTTTTATTCGTTTGTAAATCTGACTATTTGCTTTCAGCATCAGTGCACCACGCAGGAAAACAACCCTGCCTGGGCCTCACAGACAGAAGAAACAAAATGACTCATCCAGTTATTTTATTGGGATGAGGTCGGTTGTTATGGATGGAGCGCCCTTCAGACCGCTGGCACAAGTTTATTTGAGTGAGTAAATGCATATATCTGTTTTTTATGTTTTTTATTATTACTTTGTTTTGTGTCTGGCCCCTGTCTGCATCTCCTTGACTTCATGTCTCAAAACTACATCATAATAGTATTGGGTCTTCGTAGTGTAAGCCCTGTCCAAAGAGCAGCATTTAATCAATGTTTATCTCCTGTGTGTCTGGGTGTCTCTTTAGAGCGGGGCAAGAAAAGGACAGCTGTCAGACTTGATCACAGCCAAGAGTGCAGTGCACAGTAAAACACAGGTGAGTGGAAATAAATACACCTCAAGCTTATTCCAGGCCACAGGGAAAAAAAAAATATATATATATAATTTGCACACTGTAACTAGACTATATTCATAAAGAACAAATAGTTAATTAAGAGGAATCTCAACTCCTAAACCCATTAAAGGTTCAATATGTGATTTATTCTTTAACTGGGCATGCCATTTGCTTGTATCCATGAAGTTGTCATTCTTTTGCCTGGAATTATCCACAGTATGGCATTAAACATATACATTTTTGTGAAAACAAGCAAATTATGCCACCAAGCCAAGTTACAGGTCACATATGTGGAGTGGGGACCCCTTTCAATGTGTTTTGAGCAATAAAAACACCAAGTTGAATAAATGTAAGACATAATTTTAATGTTGCAGTGAAATCTTCTAGGCAAAACATTGACAAACAAGCAGATGACAGATTCCCCAACAGAAATGTTATGTAGCGCACTTTTAAATAGTGACTAAACTGGAATTATTCATGGTTTATTAATGCCAGATAAGGTGTAGTTATGAAGTGATATCCAATCATACATGGTCACACTTATGGAGCCAGATTGTGGTTGGTAAGCCTGCCCATCACATAAAAACTAAAAGAGATCGCTATCAAAATGAATGTTTATCCCACCGTTGAGTCCTTCTTCTTACTGGAGTTCAGCATGGCACACATTTATAGAAAGCCTTGCATTTTAGAATTTTCCATGATAGTGCAATTTCTAATATAAAAAAATATTATATACAGGTTTAAAATCATAGAACTACACACTGCTTCAATTGTATTGTATTGGGTGTATTGGGTGAAACTGCTGACCCCGGGTTGTTGGCCTTGTCCAAAAACGTGTTGTGTATGAATAGAGGACTGTTTCTGTGTCTGAACTGGCCATTGTTGTATTGTGGGTGTGTGGGCCGATGGAATAGGCTCCAGTATCCTTGGGCTACCAATGAAGGGGACAGACAATGAATAGAGTAATTTAAAAAGTGAATGTACCACCGTAGAAGTTTATGGCTTCAGTCTGCAGATAGGCTGACTTCTTTTTGTGAGGAAACTTCATGTCCCCTCCGTGCTCCCGAGGTCACCACACACACAAAGAGCAAACCATTTAATCCATTATCAGCTGTCTGTTGTGTCTGGGTGGCCTTCACGTTTCCCAGCCCAGTAGTCAGTACTTTGGGATTTTCATTTGACTATTAAAATTATGATTTCTACAGCAACATGTACTGAGTTATAAGTCAATCTCATCATGTATTTGCTCTGAGGCAGGAATGTAAATGACCTTGCACCTGCTAAGCTATAATTGACCAATTTGTAAGATATGGTATGAAATCACATACATGTAAAGTAAAAATATAGCAAAGAGGCACCTGCG